TGCCTCCACCCTCTTCTGGGATTTCCAAACATGCATTGTGGCAATCTGGAGTAACTAGTGCTCTTCGGATGTTGTTTGCCCCCCTAAGATTTTCTTCAACTTATCTCCTTTCATTTCAACTTAAATACAAGAATTGGAGGATATGGAGCTTTCCTGCATGAAGATGTCGACCATGGATAGGCCTTTACTTTCTCTAAAGAACAAGTTTCTCCGTACCCTAAACGAGTTGAACGCAGCTCGGGAAGAGAGGGGGAAAACCGTTGCCGAACTGGTCCAAATGAAGGATGAGAAGGACCAGGCAATTCGAGACTTGTCTAAGATGAAAGAAAATTTCACCAAACTTCAAAAAGAGCACCTTGAACTTCAAGCTTTGCATACTTTCAATTCCAAGTCCTTGTCGGACTTCAAGATTATCCATGAAGGGGTTGAGACAAAGCTGAAGGAGGCTGAGGACAGAGCTCTTCTTTATCAGGGTGAACTTGAGAAGTCGGTGGTGGGCTCCTTCAACAATGCGTTGGATCAACTGAAAGTGCTCAACCCTGATTTGCAGTTTAATGCATCCGGGTTACACCCTAAGGCGTATGTCAGCCAGGGTAAAATTGTTGCTCCTCCTCCGGAATCTCCTGCTGATGATTCGGTTACTCAAACCGAAAATGTTGAGGAGATCATGGTTAAAGCAGGTGAGGAGGCCACTAATCAGCCCGCGGGTCCCGCTACACGAGAGGAGACTCCTGCCAACCCCGCTGCTTGAAGGACCGGGATGCCGGATTTAACTTGTAATTTTTGTTTTTAAAAGAGCCCCTTTTGATTTGCTCTGAATATTGCCTTGGTGCGATTTTAATTTTTTTGACTTCTTTGAAGTATTTTACCTTTCTTCGTAATCTGCCTTCGCATTTTTATGCTTTGCATTGCATATCCCTTAAGAACTTAGACGCATCTGCCTAATTATTTAAGGTTTATCTTCTTTCCTGGTTGCTGAAGCACTTGTTAACTACTTCTAAGGACTTATCCTTTGCTGCACGAACTTACATGCTTGTTTTCTAAGTTTGTAACTTAGGCAAATAAAGCCATCAACCTTATCCGAGTTGCTACTTATCCAGGATGAGTTATTTTTGCAACTCGGATAGATTCTATTTTCTTAACTCGTGCATTTTACGAGTTTCATATTAGGCTTCATTGGAGTTTCCCCATTTGTGACGGGTTATTTTCACAACTCCAATAAATTTTATTTTATCAACTCATGCATTTTACGAGTTTTATTTTATTGACATGGCCGAGGTCAAAGCATTGTACGGATTTCGTTTTCTGTCATTTTCCATGACGCATGTTTATTTTGACTTAGCCATTGTGGCAAGTCTGCATTGATGATAGTTATAGCCTTTGTTGGCTTAACCATTCATCATATTCTGGGTTTTGTAACCCGGGTTTATCTAAGGTAAAGGCAATACTGTCACATGCCCCCCTTAGGCCTTCAACCAAAGTGAGGAGCATTTCGACTTGATCAGAGTCAGCATGACAAATTGCACTTGTACCTCAGAGTTTGTATTGATGCATCAAAAATAGTTAAGGATAAATCTTAAAAGAATAATTCCTCATTTATTGATATCAAATTGTTAACTACATGAATTTGCCCGCATATTCGTCTTTAGACAAATCCCTAAAAAGGGAAAATAATTCGCCTAGAAAAACTTCAAGTCTTCAGAAGGTGGATCTCGGATTTAACTGTAATATATTTTCAGCTTATCCGCGTTCCAGGTTCTTTTAATTTCTTTGCCTTCTGTTGTTTCTAGGATATAGGATCATCTTCCAAGCTTTTCTTTAACTCAGTATGGGCCTTCTCAGTTGGCAGCTAGTTTGAGTACCAGGTCATTTTTCACAAAGACTATTGGTCTCACTTTTTTGTTATATCTAGATGCTACCAATCATTTGGCCATCATATCCCGGCAATGAGCTGTGACCCTGGCTTCATCAACAAGATCTAACTCAACAGTGAGCAGTTTGCTGTTTTGTTGTTCACCTTGCTTAATGACATTCATTCTCCTCTAAGAGGGTTCTCCTCCTTCTACCGGAATCATAGCTTCACACCCATATGTCAGTCGAAAAGGGGTCTCTCTCGTTGCTGTCTGGGTGCTTGTTCGGTATCCCATAGGACAAAGTGTAGTTGATGAACCCAGCTTTCCTTGGCATCCATCATTCATTTTCTGAGTCCATCAACAATTACCTTGTTTGCAGCCTCAGCTTGCCCATTTGACTGTGGGTGTTCCACAGATGCAAAGCGGTGTCTGACCTTTAAGTCTTTCATCAACTCTTGGAACCTTTTATCAGCAAATTGTGTACCATTATCAGTTACCACCTCGGCTGGTATTCCAAATCTGGACTCAATGTTCCTTTCAAAGAACCTTTGTACCCTGGCCTAGGTTATTGTGGTAACCAGTTTTGCTTCTATCCACTTGGTGAAGTAATCTATGGGCACTATTAGCCACTTCAATTGTCCCTCCGCAGCTTTGAAGGGTCCCAGCAAATCCATCCCCCATTTGAAAAAAGGCCTTGGAGCCGAGATGTATTTCAATTCCTCTGGTGGTGAAAGAATCAGCCTGGCATGCTTCTGACAACTATCGCATGTCTTGACATGTTCCTTGGAATCTGCTTCCATAGTTGGCCAATAATAGCCAGCAAGGAGGGATTTTCTATCCAGAGCCTTTCCCCCCATGTGTTGACCATTGATTCCTTCATGTATCTCGGCCAGTACATATTCTGCTTCTTCTGAGTTTAAACATTTTAACATAGGAATGTGCAACCCCTTTCTATATAGTTGGTCATCCACAATAGTGTATTATGTTTCATCTCGAACCAGCTTTTTTGACTCCAATGTGTCCTCAGGTAACGTCCCTTTCTCAAGGTATGCCACTATGGGTTGCCTCCAGTCGTTCGCCGATGTGATTATCATCATGCAACTCGGCTCTATTCTGCTTTGCTGCACCATGGTTCTGTGGTTGCTTGGGTTTTTTGTACTTGCCAATTCAGACAAGATTTCAGCTCGGCTATTTTCCCCTCGAGGAATGCGAGTGACTTTCACCTCATCGAACTCGGCCATCATCTCTCGAGCCTTGTTCAAGTATTTCATCAATAGAGGGCCTTTGGCCAGGTATTTTCCTTCTATCTGAGAAGTTATCGGTTGGGAGTCGCTGAAGATTTTAACCTTTTTGGCTCCGTGTTCTTTAGCCTACATCAACCCGGCTATTAAAGCTTCATACTCTGCTTGATTGTTTGAAGTTGGGAAATCCAGGTTCAAGGAATTTTCTGTTGCCACCCTGTCTGGACTTTCGAGTATTATCCCAGCTTCACTTCCTTTGTCATTGGAAGATCCATCTACATAGACCCTCTATGCATCTTTGGTCTCTCCCACGTCGGGGCTGACCGGGGTAAGTTCCATTATGAAGTCAGCCAAAGCTTGCGATTTAATAGCCTTTCGACTTTCATACATTATGTCATATTCTGAAAGCTCAATTGCCCAGTTAGTCATTCTTCCTGCCAAATCTGGCTTATGCAATACTTGCCGTATAGGCTGATTAGTTCAGACTATTATCTGGTGTCTTTGAAAATATGGTCATAATCTCCTCGCAGTAATCAGCAAGGCGAAAGCTACTTTTTCCAGCTTCTGGTACCTCAAATCAGGCCCTTGCAAAGCCCTACTGACGAAGTAAATTAGCTCCTGACCTTTGCTGGTTTCCTTGATCAAGACAACACTTATTGCCTCCTCCCCCACAGCCAGGTACAGGATCAGAATATCTCATGGTTCTAGCTTAGACAGTACTGGTGGGGTTGCCAAGCATTTCTTGACCTTGTCGAATGCGGATTGACATTCTGGGTTCAGCCTTGCATAGCTTCTTTCTTTAGTAGTTTGAAAAACGGGAGGACATTTTCAGCAGACTTAGGTAAGAACCGGGTTAGTGCTGCCAGCCTACCAGTCAATTGCTGAACCTCCTTCTTATTCTGTGGTACTTTCATGTCAATCACTGCTTTGCACTTATCAGGATTCGCTTCAATCCCCCTATAGGTTAACATGAAACCCAGGAACTTTCTAGCTGGAACTCGGAATGCGCATTTTACCAGGTTCAGCCGAATGCGGTATTTCCACAGCTTTTGGAATGTCTGCTCCAGATCCCGGACATGGTTGGCAATGTCGACCGACTTGACGATCATATCATCAATGTAGAATTCTACATTCTTGCCCAGTTGGTCCTCAAATACTTTATTCATCATTCTCTGGTACGTAGCCCCCGAGTTTTTGAGCCCAAACAGCATCACGTTGTAGCAGTAATTAGCCTTTTTAGCAATAAAAGAAATTTTTTCTTGGTCTTCACGATATATCAGGATCTGGTTATAACCCGAATAAGCATCCATGGAAGATAGCAATTGGAATCCAGTTGAGTTATTCACTAGCTGGTCTATGTTAGGCATAGGATAAGAATCCTTTGGGCACACCTTATTTAGATCCGTGTAATCAGTACAGACCCTTCATTTTCCGTTAGGTTTTTTCACCATAACAGCGTTGGCAAGCCAGGTTGTATATTGTATTTCACGAATGAACTCGGCATCTAGCAATTCTTTCACATGCTCTTCCAGAACTTGCCTTCTTTCTAGCCCCAGCTTCCTTTTCTTTTGAGAAACTGGTTGCGATCCTGGGTAAACTGCAAGTTTGTGGCAGCAAAAAGTTGGATCTATATCGGGAATCTCTAATGACTTCCATGCAAATACATCTGTGTTGCTTTTCAGAAACCCGGTTAACTGTTCCTTTATTTGGGGATCGATGGTCTTACCAATTCGGGTAAATTGACCAGGTTCTTTTCCTAGCAGAAGGTCTTCCAATTCCCTATCAGGCTCTGGCCTGGGAATCACTTCTTCTCTCATGTCCAGTTCAACCACATTGACAGGTTTTCCTGAATGATGAAGGGTCACCTTTTTACCAGCTTTATCCCCTGGACGTATTCGGGGTGGGCTCAGGTGTCCTCTTCATTTTCTTTGACTGTTTCAAAGTAGCATTCCTTGGATTCTTTTTGATCACCACTGATGGTAATAATTTCATTCCTGCTGCTTACCATCTTTATCTTTTGATGCTTTGTGGAGACCAGCATGTCCCATTTGTGTATGGTTGGTCTCCTCAGAATTATATTGTATTCTGACGGGAAATCTGCCACTATGAACCTCACTCGTTCTGATTTGAATGATTCTTTTGTTCCCAGGGTTAACCTGAGATATATGTAGCCTTTAGGAGGTGTATTTTCTCCATTAAACGCTATTAAGGTTGTCTTGTAGGGTTTGAGGTCTTCCTCATCAAGGTTCATCTTCTTGAAAGTACCCCATAGTATAATGTCGGCACTACTTCCCGCATCTATGAAGATCTTTTTAACCCGGCAATTTACCAGGGTTTCAGTGACAACTAGTCCATCCACATGCCCTGGCAAGACACCTTTCATGTCTTCTTTTGTAAAATAGAGCAGAGGAGGGTCTGCTTTGTTAGGGTCCTCTTTAAATTTAGGACGATCCCGGATTGAGAGTACTTCTTTTAAGTACTTTCGTCTAGCACTTACAGTGTCTCCTCCTCCTCCAAGGGCTTCACTAATCACGTTGCAGTCGAACTCTGCTTCTGGGAACTCGTCATTTTTGGAATCATCTTTCTGGTTCCTTTCTTCTTTCTTTTTCTTCTCAGGTACTGGACTCTTACTCCTTTTCCGGCTTCCAGACTTTCTTTTGTTCTTGGAACCTTGAGTTTTGATCACATACTGGCGTAATTTGCGTTCTCTGACAAATTTCTCCACAGCATCTCGGAGATCCCAACATTGATAATTGTTATGGCCTGGTCCATGATGGAAGGCACAATATTTGGATTTGTCCAACCGTCCTCTGTCAAATATGGGCATGGGTCTATCCACTTTTTTCATTTCCGTCATAGCCACTTCCCTTCAAATTTAAGAGCGCGAGGCATTCAACGGTGTGTACTTCTCATACCTTCCAACCCGGTCTCTATCATCCAGGTTTCTGCTTCTAGAATCTTTCTTTTTACCACTAGCTCGCTCCTTTTCTCTTGGGGTCGGGCTCCTCCTCCTTGGGCTTGCTCTTCTACCTTCCTCAAACTGAGCATTTGCTATCTCCATTTGCTCAAGCTCTAGGTATTTCTTCGAGCGAGTTCTGAATTCCTCCAACGTACTTACTGGATCTTTATAGACCGACTTGGCTAGCCTAGATGCACCATCCAAGTGAGCCACAATAAGATGTACGTGGATATTTTTCGGTAAACCCAGCACTTGTAAGGCCGCATCCTTAAACTGGTTAAGATACCTCTGGAGGGTTTCTCCGAGTTGTTGTCGTATCTTCCCCAGGGCGAACTCGGACTTTGGATGTTTTTTGCTGGTTGCAAAATTCAGAAGAAATTTTTGTCAAAATTCCTCAAACGATCCAATGGAATTGGCAGGGAGGGTTGAAAACATGCATGCGCTGCACCAGTCAAAGTTATGGCAAATATTCGAGATATAAGGGGCTCATCTATCCCTCGGATATACATGTCCGTATCAAAAGCATCAATGTGAACCTGTGGGTCCTGGCTTCCATCATATTTCGGCAAGCGTGCCAAATTAAAATCCTCCGGGAAAAGAACATTTAGTATTTCACTAGTAAAGGGACTGCTATTATACTGCCCCCTATTATATTTCCTCATGTAGCCACCGGTTTCCACATGTCCTCTAGTAGCTTGAGCTTTTTGGTCAGGGTGTGTACCACCTCAGTTTCCCTGTCCGTTTACTCCTGCTGAACCATTCTGGGTAAAGATTTAAGCGGCCGCATTCTGAACTTCCATTGCACCAGGATTCGAGTTGATATTGCCCCTACCCTGGTTCTCTACCTCAGTGACTCAGTTCTGATGGTCTGGGTTATGGTTCCCTTCACGGCCATTAGCATCTTGGCCCTGGACCTCTCTCACCCCAAGTCTTGTGCTTTCCATTAAGGGTTGTTCCAGATCCTGCATTCTCCTCGTATTCTCTTCCTGTATCCCCTGGAAGTTGATAAACCTTTAGTTTATCTTGTTTTACAGACTAAAATAATATAAATTATCAATTTGAACAAGTCAAAAACTAGGGTTTTAATATGATAATCATGAACATTATCTGAAATTTAATTAAATGAATTATCTTTATTATTTTGAAGGGATTTTAAGATAAAAGGAGGCAAATTTGAAGATTGGAATCACAACTAGAAGAGATCATAGATGAAGATCAAAACAAGAAGATTTGAAGATCCTATCAAGTTGTTGAGAGAGGAGGCTTAAGCCTCCAAAACAAGCAAATAGCCTCTGCCTATGGGAGCTTAAGCCCCCATTTCGAAGCTTGAGCTCCCTAAAAACACAAAAATTCTCTGCCTCAAGGCGCTTAAGCCCCCAACTTTGGGCTTAAGCGCGATGCAAGAAGAAAATTCCAGCTCGAGGAGCGCGCTTAAGCGCACAACGCGAACTCTGCAATCACCGTTCTAGGGGCTTAAGCGCGAATGACCAAGCTTAAGCGCCCCAGAAACCCAACTTAGGCCCATACGAGGTATCCATCTAGGGCACGAACTCTTGGCTTACAAAAACACATTTGGGGCCAGAATTAATCAACTTTTCACATTGCAACACAATTCTTGGTGCTTGGAGGCGGAGGGTAGGCGGAGAAACACTCGATTCATGTTCGTGAGCGGCGGAGACGGATCGGAATCAAGTCTGCATTGGAGATATTGAAGATTCACCAATCATCTATGGAGTTTGGGGGAGCTTTTATATTGTCTTTTGTTCTTGATTTTGCTATGTCCGGATAAATCTTTAAGTAGTTAGGGTTAGATGGAATTTAATCAATTTATTATGCTTTGAACAATTCGTATGTTAATTTTCCTTTATATCATAAATGAAATTATCTGTTTTTAATGCTTTATATAGGCTTGAATCTTATATAATGATCGTAGGTAAATGCATGACAATAAGAATGTTGGTGTGTGATCCTTATCTGATAATTTCATCGTACGCTTTATGATTCTAGGGATAGACATAGAGTTTGCGTAATCTTTAAGATTCATGAACTCAATGCTTGCATTCTTGGGGAATAACCGGGGAACTAGGATTCTTTCAAGATTTTAAAGGTTTTAGGGTAACGAGGGATTGAGCCCTAATTACATGTGAAAGAATTGATTAGATTGATACTAAGGACAATTAACGTAAGGAAGGAATTCAAACGTAATAAAGAGATTGAAGGAAATCGAAACCCTAGCTACGTTTTTATTTTATCAGTTTATTCAAATCTTTACTTTCTTGCTTTTAAATCTTGCAATCAATTAGTTTTAATATTTTAATTTTTCAACTCAAATTCTGTTTCCAAATACAACTTTGATTGTCCAACTAAATTTGCGATAGTGAATTAGTGCTTGTGTATTATCCTCGTGGGAACGATCTCTTACTTAACACATTATATTACTTGTACGATCGGTGCACTTGCCGTGAGTAGCAACAAGTTTTTGGCGCCGTTGCCGGGGATTACTATTTCAACATTAATAGTAACTATTAATTCTTTAGATTGGACCTTATTTCTGTTATTTAGATTCTGTTTTATTTTTAATTTTTAATCTGTTTTCTGGTTTATGCGAGGTACCGTTTACACCGATTCCTTGTTATTCGACCAGGGGATAGAGAAAACAGCAAAAAGAAACAGAAAACTTGCTAAAGAAAGAAGACAGCAAGAGAAAGAAGCTTCAAGCTCAACAGAACCAAGAGAAGAAGCAATGGGAGACAACAATGTACCTCAACCACCTCCGAGAATGTTAGGAGATTACATGACTCCTGCTCGAGTTCCACAGACGGCGAGCATTGTTAGACCAAACATGGATGCTAATAATTTTGAACTCAAGCCTGCATTATTGCAACTGATTCAAAAAGACCAGTTTGCCGGAGGAAGCACGGAAGACCCTTACATCCATCTTGAAAACATCTTGCTATACTGTGATACCTTGAAGATGAATGGGGTGTCTCGGGATGCTATTTTGCTCAGATTGTTCCCTTGTTCACTTAAAGATGATGCGAGAGGATGGTTGCAGTCATTACCTCAAGGAAGTATCACCAACTGGGACGACTTGGCAACAAAATTTTTAGAGAAATTTTTCTCATCTTCGAAAATGGCAAAGTTCATGGCGGATATCACTTCTTTTGAACAAAAAGAAAGTGAAACTCTATATAAAGCATGGGAAAGATTCAAAGGACTACTCAGGAAGTGTCCCTAACATGGCATTGAAGCCTGGGAACAAGCGAGAACTTTCTTCCAAAGGATGACACCCAACACAAGAACATTGGTGAATGCTGCATCAGGAGGGTCCTTAAAAACAAAAACTCCAGAGGAAGCTTTGGAATTACTAGAATCTCTTGCCTCTCAGGAGTACGATAATGCTCCAGTACCACAGAGAAGAGCGGGGATTATGAAGCTTGATAGCTATGATGCCATCTTAGCTCAGAATGAACAGATTTTACAAATTAACAAGAAACAACAAGAACAACTAGATGCTCTCACAAAGCAATTTACCAGTTCTCAAGTCTCTTCTGTTAATAATATTCAAATAACTTGGGATATTTGTGCAGGTGCTCATGCTACTGAAGACTGCATGGCACCCGAAACTGCAGATGTTAATGGAATCTGGCATGATCAAAAGGCTCCATATAATCTGGGGAGGAACCAATACGGCAATAACCAGAATCAAAGGTGGAGAAATAAAAATCAAAATCAACACCCGAAATTTAGTTACAGTTCGAACCATCAGCTGAATCCTCCTATGCCTGTGCAACAGCAACCTCCATAACAATCAGAATAGGAGAAGGCTTTTGCACAACTATCCAAGACCACGTCAGATTACATTCAGAGTTCCAATGCTTTCAGAGAAGACACTTCAGCCTTTATGCAAGAAACAAGGGCCTCATTCCGGAATCAAAAAGCCTCTATCCGGAATCTTGAAACTCAGATTGGCCAGCTGTCAAGAAAATTCACTGAAAGAGTTCAAGGAACTTTTCCAGGTAACACTATTCCAAATCTAAGTAGGGAACACTGCAATGCAATTACTACTATGAGTGAGAAATCCATTGAACCTGTGGTAAAGCCTTCAGTAGAGAAAAAGAAAGATGACGAACCTGCAACTGAAAAGGAAAAAGAAAATGAAGTTGCTAAAGAATCTGCTGCAGAGAAAACTGTTCCTGAAAAGAAAGAGTTCAAATGGGAGAAAAAGAAAGCTAAAGAAAGGCAAGAAAAGCCATTGGAGCTCTCACCTTATGCAAAGATTCCATATCCACGGAGGTTCAGAGAAGAAATTCAAAAGCAACAGTACTCCAGGTTCCTTGATATTTTCAAGAAGCTGCAAATCAATATCTCATTTACTGAAGCCTTGGAGAATATGCCCAATTACGTGAAGTTCATGAAAGATCTACTGTCAAGAAAGCGTAAGCTGCAGGAATGTGAGACGGTGACTCTGACAGAGGAATGCAGTGCCATTATCCAGAAAAAGTTGCCTCCAAAGCTTAAAGATCCAGGAAGATTCAGCATTCCATGCAACATAGGCAATATGGAAGTGGAAAATGTTCTATGTGATCTCGGTGCCAGCATTAACGTGATGCCACTATCTATGATGAAGAAACTGGGGATAACTGAAGTAAAGCCAACCAAGACAATAGTGCAACTGGCTGACCGCTCTACAAAGCAAGCTTATGGCATTATTGAGGACATACTGGTAAAGGTTGACAAATTCATCATTCTTGTTGATTTTGTCATCCTTGATATAGAGGAAAATTCTACTATTCCTATGATCTTCGGAAGACCTTTCTTGGCAACCTCAGGAGCGCTGATTGATGTACCGAAAGGCGAGTTGATCTTACGGGTAGATGGGGAGCAAGCAATTTTCAAGTTCTTTGACAAAGAAGTCCCATCACCTATAATTCAACTGAAAGATCAAGTCTACTATATTTGTGAAAAGAAAAGAGAAGAAGAGCACAAAGAGAATTCTTCTCAAGAAAGTAAGCCAAAGGTTAAAATGGAGAAGCTCAGGAGCAAGGGAAAGCACGTAAACACCAAATTCAAAGCTATTGAGCCTACTGCATCTCACTCATATGCACAAGAGTACTTTGGGAGGACACCATTTCTGAATGGTGGAGCTTGGTCATCACCAAGTTCATGCTTTGAGCCACCATGAAGGTAAAAGAGGTACGTCAGGCTCGTGACGTAAAACAAGCGCTTGTGGGAGGTAACCCAACCAATTTTTAATTTTCCAATATTTTAAGTTTCAGTATTTTAATTTAGTTAGTTTACTTTAGTTTCAGTTTTAATTATAGTCTAGTTATTTAAGTATTATGTTACATAAAAACAAAAACAAAAACATTGAGGCTAATGATCAAATTCTGTTGAGATGGACTTTCAGGTGTAAGAGGGATTAAAGCATACACAGGTACACAACTCTTATTAATTTATATGTTTTGTGTATGATATTGAGCGAAATTATTGAGGTTGAAGAATACACAGTAGAGATGAATGCAAGGAATAGGAAAATATGGAGAAAATTTTCTAAGTATTGAGAGCTTAAGCCCCTAAAGGAAGCTTAAGTCCTCAAAAGTGAAATTTATCTTGGCCCTAGCGCGCTTAAGCGCGCTTGATCACGCTTAAGCGCGTTCCACGATTGAAAAATCCCATACGAAGAGCGCGCTTAAGCCCCCAAGGGCAAGCTTAAGCGCGATAAACAATAAAAATGACCATAGCTCACTGCCTCTCCGCGCTTAAGCGCGAGAGAGGAAGCTTAAGCGCGCTAAATAAAATTTTATCCCACTCCTCACTGCTTCAGCGCGCTTAAGCTCGAATTACTGCGCTTAAGCGCACTCATCATTGACATTATGCATGCTGTTAAAATATCTCAGTTCTATATACTCATTATTATTTTTAGATTGCATCTGAAACCAAATCTGGGAATTGTTTTTTTTTTGTGGAAGGCATATTGACTTGGGAATTTTTCTGATTTTTCAGGACACTACACCTACTACTGATATGGAGGAGGATTGATTCCTCATATCAGTTTTCAGACTTCACAATTTGTTTTCATTTTTATTTTGATGTTTTTACTGTTAGTTTTAGTTCATGGATGTATATTGAGATTGATCCTGACATGACTATGATATTTTTTAAATATATGACATGCTGACGTAGTTTCTTTATCTGTGACATGTGTGCAGAATACAGTTTTATAATTTTCTGATTTCTTACTACGAAGTATTTTTAGATTTAAATTTATTGCTGAGGACAGCAAGATTTAAATCTGGGAATGGATACCATGCAATTCATCAGACCACAAAATTCACATGGTCGGAAGGAGAAACTCATGATTACAATGATTACATAGAAATATCCAAATTACAAATGCAGTGATTCAGGGGAGTTTCTCAATATTATTTTCATATGATTAATATTTCGTATTATTTATTTTAGAAATTATTTTGATTAAGTATAAGTTTATTTTTAAGTTTTCAATTATATTAGTTTACTTTAAAATTTTAAGTTTCAAATTAGTTTTAAGAACCCATCCATCCTTAGTCACTAAATATTTAGTGAAATTTTAAAATGGTGAATTTTTTTGAATTTTCCGTTGTGCTTGATGTATATGCATAGTGAATAATTACAGTAGATTGATTGATTACTGAAATTAAGAGTATGATAATGTAAATTTATTTTCACACATAAATGAGCGTCAGTCAAGCATGCTTCATAGTTCACTGGAATAAGAGAAAAATAACTAAAGTGATCAAATAAAGAATAGAAAATAAGTCTCACACCCTTAGCCGTGAGCTATTGAGCCAAAACAAAAATTATTTTTTTTGTGGTGTGAACTTCACTGTATGAATCACTCTAGAACTTGTTTTATTTCTCCTTGAGGTGGTCTGTGATATACAATTGTTGAAATGATAAAGGCAGTTCTTTCTAAAAGCCAGATAGCCAAATAGCCACCCTGATGTTTATCCTTAGTTAAGCCCCTTTGAGCCTAGGCCTGTTCGTTCATTGACAGTGTATTGTGAATAGCCACTCCATACACATCCTCACCTGAACTGGTTGAATTTCAAAATTAAATGAGGAACTAGATATGACTGGAACAAAAAGAAAGAAAATCAAACTCTAATGTATGGAAGAAAAGGTGAAAAGAGGAAAAAGCCAAAAAAAATGGTGAAAAAGAAAAAGAAAGAAAAGGAAAAGGTTGAACTGTGTATCTGTACAAAGAAAGAAAAAGGAAAAAAAGGAAAAAGGAAAAGAAAGAAAAGATTCGTGTTATATGAATAAGTGGAAAAAGAAAAGAGGAGAAAGCAAATAAGAAAAATTCTGTTTACTAAAGTGATGAACAGTCATAGTAGTCCCTCTTTGACTTTGATTTTTGATCAGTAAGCCACTTACCCAGATGATTCCTTCCCTTTTACCTAAGCCACATTACAACCTTAACAAAGACCTCTTGATTGACTTTGTATAGTTATTACACTATGGAGAGTGAGAATATAAACAAGCATATGATAGTGTTAATTCAGTGAAGTAAGAGTGAAACGCATACCCTTAAACACTGAGTGTGAGTGAATAAAAAAAATCCAGTGAGAGGGTGTTGTGGATTTGAATTGCACTACTCTTTATTTTGAGAACTCATGTTATGATTCTATGACTAGTGAGTTGTGAGTGTTTGCTTGAGATTGATGTATCATTAATTTTTATCAAATCTGAATGCTCTGAATTCTTACGATTGATCAGTTTCCTAATTGTTGTTCATTAAGCGTGATTAGCCGTCTCCAAACTTTCCCATAGTTTTATTCTGTTTAATTGCTGAGGACAACAATGTTTAAATCTGGAAATTGTTTGATAAACCTTTAGTTTATCTTGTTTAATAGACTAAAATAATATAAATTATCAAGTTGAACAAGTCAAAAACTAGGGTTTTAATATGATAATCATGAACATTATCTAAAATTTAATTAAATGAATTATTTTTGTTATTTTGAAGGGATTTTAAGATAAAAGGAGGCAAATTTGAAGATTGGAATCACAACTAGAAGAGATGATAGATGAAGATCAAAACAATAAGATTTGAAGATCCTATCAAGTTGTTGAGAGATGAGGCTTAAGCCCCCATCTTGAAGCTTAAGCCTCCTAAACAAGCAAATAACCTCTACCTATGGGAGCTTAAGCCCCCATTTCAATGCTTAAGCTCCTTAAAAACGCAAAAAGTCTCTGCCTCAGGGCGCTTAAGCCCCCAACTTTGGGCTTAAACGCGATGCAAGAAGAAAATTCCAGCTCGAGGAGCGCGCTTAAGCGCCCTCCAGCGCGCTTTAGCGCGCAACGCGAACTCTGCAATCACCGTTCTAGGGGGCTTAAGCGCAAATGACCAAGCTTAAGCGCCCCAGAAACCCAACTTAGGCCCATACGAGTCATCCATCTAGGGCACGAACTCTTGGCTTACAAAAACACATTTGGGGCCAGAATTAATCAACTTTTCACATTGCAACACAATTCTTGGTGCTTGGAGGCGGAGGGAAGGCGGAGAAACACTCGGTTCATGTTCGTGAGCGGCGGAGACAGATCGAAATCAAGTCTGCACTGGAGATATTGAAGATTCACCAATCATCTATGGAGTTTGGGGGAGCTTTTATATTGTCTTTTGTTCTTGATTTTGCTATGTCCGGCTAAATCTTTAAGTAGTTAGGGTTAGATGGAATTTAATCAATTTATTATGCTTTGAACAATTCGTATGTTAATTTTCCTTTATATCATGAATGAAATTATCTTTTTTTAATGCTTTATATAGGCTTGAATCTTATATAATGATTGTAGGTAAATGCATGACAATAGGAATGTTGGTGTGTGATCCTTATCTGATAATTTCATCGTACGCTTTATGATTCTAGGGATAGACATAGAGTTTGCGTAATCTTTAAGATTCTTGAACTCAATGCTTGCATTCTTGGGGAATAACCGGGGAACTAGGGTTCTTCCAAGATTGCAAAGGTTTTAGGGTAACAAGGGATTGAGCCCTAATTACATGCGAAAGAATTGATTAGATTGATACTAAGGACGATTAACGTAAGGAAGGAATTCAAACGTAATAAAGAGATTGAAGGAAATCGAAACCCTAGCTACGTTTTTATTTTATCAGTTTATTCAAATCTTTACTTTCTTGCTTTTAAATCTTGCAATCAATTAGTTTTAATATTTTAATTTTTCAACTCAAATTCTGTTTCCAAATACAACTTTGATTGTCCAACTAAATTTGCGATATTGAATTAGTCCTTGAGTATAATCCTTGTGGGAACGATCTCTTACTTAACATATTATATTATTTGTACGATCGATGCACTTGCCGTGAGTAGCAACAGAAGTCTTGTCGTCGTTGGAGGTTATTACGATTTTTCGTCTCCTTCATTCGCCGTATAATTGCAGCGAACACATTTTGTGCAAGCCGGAATCAGGATCTGCAGATTAAGCCATGTGCGTTGCAAAATTTCCAGGATGCTGGGGAGGATTGTTCATAGTTGGAGCCGTAACCCGATCATGATGTGCTGGAGTGGAAGCTGTGTCTGACACATCCTCACTGACATGAACATGATAGTAATCTATCTTAATCTCAGGCTGGTTCTGAGATTGATTCACCTCTTCCAAAACTGGATCCAGCGGCTGATTCTGGGTGGGTGGTTGTTGGCTATTACTTCTTGTACAGATTGCCATCTTTTCAGTCAGAATGATGGGAACTTCAAATTCAGACAAGAATTCCTCACAGACGGCGCTAATGTTCTGTCTTGGCGACAGAGATGTCCAGCCCAATGGACTAGTATGTTAATCTTGGATCTAGTGCCCTCCCTAAGGTATCTATGAAAGAGATACCCTTGAGTCAAGCATATCACTGTGAATAACGAACTAATAACGACGTTAGCCAAAGATGTGTGTTTGTGCGCACAGTGACAACATAACAGTAAGAGAGAGAGCGTACCGTACCTTTAGGGTTTACCTTGTATTTATAGAGGTTACCTGTGGGTAATAAGGTGTGGGGCCTTTGATGCCCTGATAAAGGCTCAAGCTTGTTCGCTATGCTGTCGTATTAGGATTAGTATCCTTGATGGATACTGTCCGTAATTATAATTGATTCAGATCTTGGATTGCCCATTATTGGGCCTGTCATTCAATGAGGCCCTTATGCGGGTCCATAACACTTGGTAATAGAATTTTTATACTCTTCTCCCTTCATTTCTATGCCTTATAATATCTTATTTTCTGTCATATATTTATGAGTTGATTCCATTTGTTTGCTACTCTTTTTTCACAACAAAAATATCAAAATTTTGCGTAATTTTTTTTTGGGTAGATCAATCTTGTGTAAATTTTTTATGCCAAACAAATATTACACAACACAAAAGGCATAGTTGAAAATTTTGCATTGTTATGTCCAATATTTTTCAGAATAACTTGTGTTGTCAAGTATTACCAAAAGTAAAAAGTAAAAAATAAAAAATAAAAAATGGTGTTGTAAACTTGTAACTTAGGATCTGTTTGATTGTGTTCTGGTTTTTTTTGTTCTTAAAACTATTTTGTAAAATAGTTATGGAAACAGTTGTTTTCTATATTTTTTTCTTTTTGAAATTTAAAAACAAAAACAGAAAACAAAAACAATTCAGACATGTTCTCTAAATTTGATTTTAAAAACAGAAAAACAGTTATAATTTTCAAAATATTTTTTACAAAACATGTCTTACCAAACGAGTTTTTTAATTTTTTTGTTCTGAAAATTAAAAAACTGTTTTGCAAAACAGAAATCAAACGGAGCGTTAATTACTTGTCCTGTGTTGTTTTTCTTATCATGTTTCTCGGTGTGCGTTAAACACAACCTAAAATCTGAACTAGTTAAATAAAATTGAACAAAATTTGTAAGTGCATTTTTTCCTGCCACTATTTTCCTAGTCTCTAGACCTTGGCTAGATCATCATTGAACCTAACTTATTCTTTAAATCTTTTTATTGACAAAACCATTTGGCTAAGTCTTTATT